TATATTATATATCATAATTATATAATATATTATATAATAATATTTTTTTTGTATTATATTAAATATAATAATAACTATATATTATATTGTAATTATATATATTATATTATAGTATAATATAATATAGTCGTAATTTTTAACTATCCACAGCAATTTAACCTCATAATTTACTAAACGTTATTACACTGATTTTGAAACCAGCACAGCTATTATAATTAGAGATGTCAAATGGGCCGGGCCGTCCATGGACGGCCCGGCCCAACCCGTAATAGTGTCGGATTCGGCACGGCCCATTTCACTACTATTACGGGCCGTGCCAGCCCGGCACGTGTAATGGGCTAGGACTGGGCCTCAACTTCTCAGCCCACGGCCCAAGCCCGTGGAGGCCCACGGCACGGCCCGTGTTCGGCTCAGCACAAGCCCTGATTCGGCCCTTGTTCGGCCCGGCCCAAGCCTGCGAAACGGCCCGTGAAACAACCCATTCTAAATCCTCTCGTGGGCCCTTCGCAGGCTGAACAGGCAGCACGTGACGGGCCTCCCATTTGGCCCGTCACGGGCCTCCCGTTTAGCCCGTCATGGGCTTCCTGTTTGGCATGTGACGAGCCTCCTGTTAGGCCCACGAAGGGCCCAACGGCAAGAATCCGAAAATCCACCCTAAATCCTCTATAAATACCCCTTAATTCTGTTGGTCTCCGAATCGAATTCGGATGCGGAAGCGCGGTGGTGCGGGGAAGAGGTGGATCGTGTATAACAAAAATTTTCATAAATCTTTTGAGATACTCTATAGATTATATTAATTTATGTACGAATAAATTAATCTCATTAACTTATATATATCAAGAACTCAATCAGAAAAAATACCTGGAAGCCGACTCGGAAACAGTCCTTGCTCCAATCTTTATGTTTAGAAAACCAATGTCTTCCACGTCAATTACTAGAATCTATGAAGACGTGTGTGTGGGCACACATGAGACAAAACGGGTTACAATAAACACTCAAATTTCCACAAACACCATCGCATGCACGATGTGAAATTTTTGGAGAAAATTTTTTTC